GCGCTGAGACGTAGCTGCAGAAAATTGAGTGGCTCACTGCTAGATGGTGCCCCATCCTTGCCTCTGCCTCCTTTTTCAGCTATGGGGTCTTAATCCTGCATCCCTGGCCTTAGGACATCTGCCCTGCTTCCCTCCACATGCGTTTCGTTCCCGGTTCTGACTGTGTCTGACTTCACAGAATCAAAGTCAAGTCTTGCTGAAAATATACCCTCTGCCTTTGGGAAAAAAATCTCTGGCACTGTCTCCTCAGAGCCTGACACAGGTTAATAACCAGCCTCCAAGCACATTGTTGTTTTTTATAATTACCGGATCGCTTTGGCTCCTCCCCAGAGGGAGCAGGTGCGTGTCACAACCCCGAGTGTGCCCTGTCACTGTTGCCACCAGCTACCTATGTTTACACAGCCCTGCTGGGAGCCCCTTCTCAGGGAGGCCTAGACCCAGATTAAACACATAGTTGGTTTGCTGGAGAGAACTGCAACAAGACCTGCACGCCAAATCTCCCCAAATCTTAGAGGGTAAGTTAATGAAAGATTGCGACTGAGCAGCACATAATTTTAAACCCAGCCATTTTGCTCTGAGGAATCTGTCATAATCCAAGGACTATCAAAATCCAAACTACAGAGACAGTAACATAAGCATATTCGTTGCAGTGCTTTCTTGATAAGAACTGGCCTAAAACACACCGGATCCATGCTGTGTTATAAAGGATACTGTGTAACTATTGCCAGTGTTTGAGGACTGTGAGACTACGCTTAAAAGTATCAAGTTGGGCTAGACAGATGGCTTCCTGGTTGAAAGCACTGGATGCTCTTGCAGACCACTCCAGTTCAATTGCCAGCACATGCATGATTAACTCTAATTCCTGAAAATCTGATGCCGTCTACTGGCATATGTGGATATCAGGCATACCTGTCGTCCATATATACACCCAATTTTAAAAAGGAATACAACTTTAGTGGTGCATATCACTGAAGAATTAATTACACATTTCTAGATTATTCTATGTTTTAGGCAAAAATCATGGACAAATAAAAGCAAATGAACTGTTTCTAAGAACTGTAAAAAAAAAAAAAAAGTTAAAGGTGGGTATGGTGGCTCATGCCTGTAATCTTTGAATTGAGGTGGCTGAGGCAGGAGGCTCATGAGTTTGAGGACAGCATCTACCTACACACTGAGACCCTGTCTCAAAAATAACACCAAACTAATCTGAATCAAACCAACCACTTCAAGGCAAACCCGGCTGCTTGTGAGTCAGCTCAGAACACTGTCCTTCACCATTTTAGTCCTTTGGCTCCCTTTAAGTGAGCCGGGCAGCTATTAGCTACTTAAACCAAAGTTTAACAAAAATAAATAAATAAATGCATTTAAATTAAAAAAAAAAAAAATACAGGGCTACGATATCTTTAAAGAGGGAATGGAGAAGCAATCACAAAGGAAACCTGGGAAAATGCTTTCATCTCCTCAAAGAAAGGACAGAAGCAACTGGGGTGCTGGTCCTGGTGCCACTGAGTCACAGCAGGACTGGCGGTCAAGGGACCCTCACTTGAGGGCTGCTCCATCACACACAAGTCAGACAGGAATCCCCAGGCTTGGCCCTCCAAGCCTGGTGCACAGTGGAACATCATGCAGGAGGAGAGGGGAAGGTTGGGTTCCACTGCCTAGCAAAGGGAATTCTAATGCAACCCTGCCGTTTCTACATGTATGGGTGTAAGCCATGGCAGAATTTACATACTGTGCAAAATGGGGCCCAAGGCGCTACTCACAGCACTGGGGAGGCTGAGGCAGGGTTGTTGAGTTCCACAACCTGGATTATATATCCATAAAGTGAAGCCCTGACTCCAAACGACGAAATAAGAAAATCTCCCCTAACCTGAAAGCCTGAACAGAGCACCATTGCCGTGCACCTGCCCAGCAGTGTCTTCACCTCCACTCACAGGGTCACTGGAGAGCCCAGGGAAGTTGAAGCAGTGGGTGTGGTCCTGACCTCAGACTTGTAATTCAAGGGACTTGGGGGTCTTCATGTTCAGCATGAAGAATAGGGAGTGTCGTCGGTTCATCCAGAGGAGCCATCGTCTGCAAAGACAGCACCTGCTCCCTGCTCCGCCCTGTCTCTGTTCTCCAGGTGTTTTCCGGGTGTCACAGAGGCCAGGGAATCTGGTAAGGGCCAGCTAGCTGAGGTACTCTGATACAAAGGCTCTGGCCCCTCCATCCCCATGGGGTGAAATCCACAGGAGATCTCTTTAACAGATGGAGCTATCTGCCCTGCCAAGGTCCTGAGATCTCTCAGGGGCCCTCAGTCCAGCAGCTGCCTCTGGCGGCCAAAATCCTGGGCTGCAGCCATGGATGGAATCTGGGTCCCAGAACTACCTGCATTGGGACTTGTGCACAGAGGGCTAGAGCAAGATAAGCAGGACAAGCAGCCTCAGCCTAAGCTGGGCAGCTTTTTCCCATCCTGTAAAGACACATATCAAACCACTCTCCCTTTTATGTTAAGGCTTCAATTCTCAGAAGTGATTCACACAAAATACACAGAAAGTGGCATTTTCAAGGAAAAGTAATTTATTGGTAATCTGATGACATTTGGGTTGTAGTTTTGAAAGCAAAGAGAAGATACATCAGGAAAGACTTGGGGATAGAAACATTGTCTGTGGCCCACAGCCAGTGACTCACACCTGTAATCCCAGCACTGAGGAGGCAGGAGCAGACAGATCAGAGAGTTTGAGGTCAGCCTGGATACAATGCCAATTCCAGGATAGCCAGGGCTACATGGAGAAACCCTGTCTCAAAGACCCACCAGTGCCAGGACCCCAAAAGGAAGTCTGTTTGTCATCCTGTCACTTCAGAAGCAGCATACACTTACTAAAAATATTTCATGTGGAAAACATGTCCGAGAATTCCCTTGTGAAACCACATGGTGTTTGAGTGAGGGCTCTGGGTTCTAGAGTCTCCAGGATGAACTTGGCTTCAGTGCTTAGTAGCTCTGTGGCTTCAAGATGCTTGCAAATTCACTCTAGGTTTCCTTTGTCACAGGTTCCCTTCCCAGAGGAGTTCCATAGGAAGTGATTTCAAAATAATGACCCCCCCAAAAAAATTTTACAGGAGCACCAGCATAGTGGTTTATCTCTATAATCCCTACACTTAGGGGGATAGAGGCAGGAGGATCATGAATTTGATGTTCACCAAAACCACACAGAGACACCCTGTTTTGAAAAACCAATACTTAGAGTTAGGAAGGTAGTTTAGCCATTATTGCTTTTTGCAGAAGGTCTGGGATCAGTTCCCAGCTCCTTCCTACATGACTGCTTAGTCTGTAACTCCAGTTTCAGGATGTCCAGTGCCCCCTTCTGGCATCTGTGGAATTCACACACATACATACTGTACTTGCATAAATACAGACAAAACACGAAAAAAGAAAAAAGGAAAACAACAGAAAGACAAAAGACATCAAGTACATAGCATTAATATATATATAGTGTCTGCCACATAGAAGCCATGGTGCAAAGCAGGGACAAACTGGAGATAGGAGGGGTAATGAAGACACCCAGCTCCTTCCCTCCCTGCATGCACATCTCTCATAGGGGAAAAAAGAAGGGTCAAATGTTTCATCCTGTGCCCGGTGTCATTGGTTGAGCTCCAGCACTAAGACCAACTAGCCAAAGCAAAACTGAGCCACTCAAGGGCTGGGACTAGACTCAGCATTACAGCATTTGCTTTGGATCTACAAAAAGTGGGCTGAAGTAGGGCTCACTGGTGGAATTTACCTAGCTCCTGCAGGGCCCTGGGTTCCATCCACTGCACCACAAGGAAAGAAAAGCATCAAACAAGCTGTTTTTCAGATCTGAGCTGCTGTCACTTAGGGCAATCAAAGACAAGCTAACCAAATCCCGAAAGAGCCAGTTTCACCCCAGGTGATAAGTGCCTACCCGTGGGTTAACCTTCCTGTTGGTATTTCTGCCCTTCCCTTAGTCTCCTCTGTCATCCTCCTCAATCCAGCTCATCAGAGCACCCACTGCATGTTGATTCTGTGATTGCAAATAAAAGGCAAGTAAGGCGATCAGTTATGTCCCCACCTCCTATCTCCCGGCTTCCTGAATGTTGTCCTGGTTGGTCTTGGACTCCTGGGCTCAAAGATGCTCTCGCTTTGGCCTTTCACTTATCTGGGACCCTGGATGTGCATCCCAGCCCCTAGCTCAGTTATGGCCTCTGAACTCAATTCATCGTTAATTTTGGCTTTTCCCACGAGTGAAGTGTAGATTGCACCAGTGCAGGGAGGAAACTGGTCTGGGACAGAGACCCTGAAAGAAATAACTGATCTGAAGTGGCAGAGACAACAGCCTTTGAGGTAAAGCTGGGTATGGGGGCACAAGCCTGCAGTCATAGGCACGTAGCAAAATCACTTGAGCCAAGAGTTCAAGTCCAGCCTAGGCAACACAGGAAGAAAAAAAATTGGAGTTAATTAACTTACACTACAAAAGTATAAAGAATCAAAAGGGCCCAGAACTGACAATAAAAGGAAGAGATAAATAAGTGCCATGATTTCCCACACGAAGGCAAAACAACTCTAGAAACTTAATCGGAGTTACTCAGGACAGCCTGGGAATTAGATAGACTCAGAGTACAGAAAGTGCCTGGCAGCTGTGGCTTCACTTAAATAGGAACCACTGTTATCATAAGGCCACAGGGAAATCCCTGGGGGAAGACGGGGAACACTCAGAAGGTAAGCACAATCCGGCAAGAGGTGGCTCTGAACCCCAAGATCCCATAGCCTATGGGGGTCTAATCCTGTGACAGGTACCTAGAGGTCCTCTTCACAGGAAGAGGGGCATCTGTCACAGCTGGACAGCCAATGTAAGAACTTCAGTGAGAGCCACAGGATCTGGACTACCAAGCTGTTTGTGGATGCCAACAGCCTGTACGTTTCAACAGCACACACCTCTCCAGCAGAGGACAGTCCAACAGGATGTACCCACACTCCTGCTTACGACAGTCAATGCTCAAGATATACAGGTTTCTCAGAGGTACCTGTCAGGCATCACCCACTCCCAGGTCACTTTCTGGGAGCCACAGAATCATCCCCCAGGTAAAGTGGCCTAGTCACCATAGCAGATCTCAGCCCCCAGCTTCTTGGTCATATAGGTGGTTAGCATGTCCAAGAGATTCTGCTGCATGGCCTGATTGCTCATGACCAGAGCAATGAGCTCTATAGCGTCTGTCCAGTCCAAGTTCCCGATGATGGCCTTGGCTTCGTTAACCAGTTTCTGCTGTTCAACAGGGGGCAGCTCCATTAAGATCTGAGGTACAGGCTTAAACTGTCCACTTGTCATCCAGGCACCTAACAGACCCCCAACAGTCCCACCTGGAAAACAAGGAAGGATCAATTAGTCAGCCTCAACCTCCAACAGTGGCCTTGGTTTCCTTCGAGAAATGTGGCCACTGTCATGACAGTTGGGCACATTCATGAACAGGTCACAGCCAGCTAAGATTCAGCCTGATTACCAGCAGAGCAGAGGATTAGGTCCTCTCTAGTCCATTTGTCCAGGTGATTGACACCCATGCATGTCCCTCCCAATGCCCCCCACTTACACCCTCCCCACATCAGACCTGTATCCACTAAGATCCCCTTCATATCTGAGCACTCCCACTCACTCCTGAGGTTCCTGAACAATCTGTGTCCACAAAGGGGTCTGACAGGGAAATGGTCTTCCAAGAAACCACTTGCCTGGACAGGATGAGAGGCTGAGCAGTTTCCATGGTATGGCTGTGATAAAACACGACGACAATAAACAACATGGGTGGAAAGAGTTCATTTCATCTTATGCTTCTCAGGTCACACTTGCTCACTGACAGAAGTCAGGGTAGGAACTAACTCAAGGCAGGAGGCAGGAGCTGATGCAAAGGCTTGGAGAGTGCTGCTTACTGGCTCGCTTGACCTGCTTCCCTAAAGCATCCAGAACCACCAGCCCAGGGATGACCCTCCACAATGAGCCACACTCTTCCACATCAGCAGTCGCTCAAGAAAAAACACAGTGAGCTTGCCCACAGGCCAGCCCAGTGGGGGTATTTCCTCATTGCAATTCTCCCTTCCAAAATAACTCAAGCTTGTGTCAAGTGGATACTAAATCAGTGGCTGGCAGGAAACAAGCCCCAGAGGCTAGGAAATCCCCAGAGAACTCACATGGGAAATGACTCTGGATGCAACTCATGTGCTTCCCTGGGAAACTGTCTTTTATTCCATCTCTCAGAAACACAAAAACCAACATAATTTACCATTTCCCTTTCCAATACTGGAACACTTCTACTGTCTCTTGCTTGTTTTTTGGAGACCAAGTCTTGTTGCATAGCCCAGGGTAGCCTACAACTCTTGCTCTTACTGCCACAGCATCGCAGCCGAGAATCACAAGTGTGTGCCAGCCACCAAGCAAGCTAGAAATACTGTTTTTAGATTTCTGCTTCCTTCTTTTCCAGATCTGGTAGGATGGGGGTGGGAGGGTGGGTCGAGAATTGCAGCTAAGTACTCTAACACAAAGATATAACCTTAGCTAAAAACACTGGTTTTACGTTTTAATTTTATTTTATATTTCTCAAGGCAGGGTTTGTCTGTATAAGAGCCCAGGCTGTCCTGGAGCTCACACAGATCTGCCTGCTCTGCCTCTGGGATTAAAGGTGTCGATGGCCACTGCCTGGTTTAGAAATATTGTTTTCTAAAAAGATCTACATATTTATTTATTATATATACTGTGTTCTTCCTCCATGGCACAGGAGGGCCCCAGGTGGCTGTGAACCACTATGTGGTTGCTGGGAATTGAACTCAAAACCTATGGAAGGGAGTCAGTGCCCTTAACCACTGAGCCTTCTCTCCAGCCCCTAGGTATATTGCTTTTAAATGTAACTTTCTGGTCACAGTTAAGGCATGCTGTTAATGAACCTGAAGATCTGGTAGGATGGAAAATGCCATGTCACCAGGTCCTGTGCTGCAGGACACAAGGTGAAGGAACAGTAGGGGCAGAGGTATCAGACTCAACACCTTCAAGGTCAGGGAAGTGATCCAAAGTGATGAAGAGAGCACCGGTCTGGCGGTAGACTCTTTTAAACCAGCCCTTGAGAGAAAGAGGCAGGTGCAGCTTGGAACAGTTTGAGGCCAGCCTAAATAGCAAGAGTCTTTCTCAAAATAGCAAATGTTAAAGGGGGCAGAGGGGTCTGTGGTGGCCTGGGAATCTAGGTTCCTGCCTGAAGGAAAAGCTACTATCATATTGTAGGCAGCCAACGGCTGCCACTGGGAACATCAGATCTGAGTTCTAAGGTCTCCTGTGAACTGCATATAACAACAATCAGATGCTCACAGACGCAGCCTGGCTGGACTTGGGAGTCTTTCCCAAGGAACAGAATACGGGAGGAGGAGCTGGGTGGTGGTGGTGCACGCCTTTAATGCCAACACTCGGGAGGAAGTGACCCCTGTGAGGTTGAGACCAGCCTGGTCTACAAGAGCTAGTTCCATGACAGCCTCTAAAACCACAAAAAAAAAAAAAAAAAAAAAAAAAAAACCAGTAACAGAATACGGGATGAGAAACAGAAACTTGAGAGTAGAAATATCCAGCACACATGGCCTTGACCATGTTGCCAAGGTCAGTCTCACTGGAGGTGCCACAGGATGTCACATCTGGACTGCCACAGAACACACATAACCTCTGAGGCTTTCCCTCCCAAGACTACTGAGAAGCACATCATACAGCGGAGAATTTTACAGAACACCGCCCAGCCACTTCCCAAACCCAACTATGAAAAGCACAGCCTAGGAAACTGCCACAGGCCACAAGAGACTACTGGAAATGGACTCATTCAAAGGAGTGTCAACTTGGGTAGTGTCATCTGTCACATACCCTTGATCCCAGTACTTGGGAGGCAGAGGCAAGGGGATCTCTGTGAGTTCCAGGCCAGCCCGGTCTACATAGTGAGTTCTAGGACAGCTAGTGCTACATAGTGACACAATGTCTCAAAAAAAAAAAAAAAAAAAAAGGAAAAAAATGGGGCATCTCAGAGCAAAACAAGGCTGTTGTGCAAAGTCTGGTCAAATGAAAATGTTTCACAGGCTGCATTAGTGCTGACTGCTCGGTCCCCACCGAGGATGCGAAACACATTCCCACCAGAACTAAATCTGAGAGAGGGACAAACCAGGACTTTCTGAACAATCTTTGCAACTTCTACACGTACAATGAGGATCTCGGGTGTGAGGTTCAATCTGTAATATATAGTTTCAGACCAGCTTGACGTACACAGAGAGACCACAGCTCAAAAGGTGTGGGTGGGACTGACCAGTTGGTTCAGTGGTTCAGAGCAGGGCACTGGATGCTCTTTCTGTGAGCTGATGTACACCCACATGGCAGCTCCAAGAAATCCTTAACTCCAGCTTCACAGAGCCTGATGCCCTCTTTTGGTCTCTGTGGGTATTGCAGCATACAGAACATGGACATACTATACAGGGAAACATCATACACATAAAATAAAAACAAACAAATCACTTTAGAAATATGCAATTAGGTAAACAGACAACACAGCTCAGTGAGAACCCACTGGTAGGCTGGGCTCAGAAGACAGAGGGCGACACACAAGTTTTCTGAATCTAAACAGGGTAGCCCCTGGGAGCAGACACTCCCCCTGGCTCCCAGTACAGGGGCAGCCAGTCTCTAAGGAAAGGATGATTGCAGGGGAAGAAAACCAGTTCATTCACACGTTTGACTGACTCTTTTTCCTGACACCAAAGAACCTCTTGAGCTGACTGTGCTACACACGTTTGTATGAACTCCTCACAATCATCAATATTTGACTTACAACAGCACTTCATTCGAAGGGTTATCGAGACACGGATGAACAAATTACTACTAGGTCTTAGAAGACAGGAGAATTCCTATGTCTTTTGTGGAAAACCAAGCACCCACCCACGACCAGGGGCCAGAAGCAGTGAGTCCTTACCAGCGTTACTCAATGTAAAATAATGGCTCCCACGACAGAGACAGCACACAGGTATATGATAAAACAGCCCCAACCCGGCTTCCCCTAAGCACTTAGATAGGAGTGGTGAGTCGAGGCAGTCACTGGGGAACAAGAAATGGGCTTGGCTTCTCCTTTTGTGGGAAGAAGCTGACGTCGGGACTACGGAAGTCACAGATTTGGGGAACACAAAAGGTGAAAGTCTGGTGCCATCATGTATTGAGGGGATACAGGGATACTTGTCAGAAAACAGAACAGAAGCCAGCCTCAGTACTAAAGAGCTTCTCTCTGTCCAGCCTGTCCCAAACTGGGGACTGAAACCACCTAGCAATAGCTTCTAGAAGACTGGGGTCAAAGAGGGGATGTACCCCTAGGTTGTTGGCTCTCAACAGTAGTCAGTAAAAAGCCACCCAGCTGCACATGGCAGGTGCCCAGCCTGTCATGGGGATGCCAGCCAAACTGTACTGAACGGCCCATGGTGGCCATCTCAGCTGAAGGCAAGCAGAGTGAGTGAGCAGCGATCTATGGCTTTTGCTTCGGTTCCTGCCTTGAGTTCCTGCCCTGACTTTTCTTCATAATGAACTCTAAGCTGCTCCAAGGTGCTTTACGTCCTGGTGTTTTTTCACAGCAACAGAGAACAAACTAAGACACAGCCAGGCTGTGAGTAACTGATCATGGAAAGAACTTGGCAAACGTAGCTCCCTTCTCAGCTAACACGGCAACAATGATGTACGGAGGGGGGACATCGCGAGGGCCCAGGCACCCCAGTACCTTTAGACTCAAGGACACATTTCTAGGGAAAAGGCAGAGCCATGGGTTCCTAGAGGGAAGGTGCCTCCCAGGTCTGACAGATGCAAACACGAAGCTAAGAGAATCCTGTATCCCACGGAAGCTGTGAGGACATACTACATACATATACATACTACATACATACAGAAGCCACCGGCCTTATAAACTCCCAGCTCAGGGTATGAGGTAGGTACCATTCTTACTTACCAAGTCATTCTCCCATGTGGTTCCAAAAAAAACCTCAAGCATACATACCAGAAGCCTGGAATGTAGTATGTAGCCCAGGCTATCCTGCCTCCCCAGGGTCAAGGGATAACACATCTGAACTAACACTGGCTGTAGCTGTGAAGACACACTCACCAAGAGCAATTCCTGGTGGGCCACCCACCAAACCACCGAGTAAGGCCACTGTCCCTGTAACCAAGGCACCCCTCACAGAATGCTTGAAGGCCGCCTTCATTTTTCTCTCCTGGGAAATGGAACACAGGAGCTTCATGACATCATCCACCTCGATGGGCATCTTATCAGACCTTAAAAGATGATTCAAAGAGATGGGTAGTTTAGTGTTTGCTCAAGTGTGTACCTTAAACAAGGTGTTTCCAGGTGTTCTGTTGCATGGATGTCTGTGTACCACATGTGTTCAGTGCCCTTGCAGGCCAGTGGTCCTGGAACTAGAGTTACAGACATCTGTGAGATACCATGTGTGTGCTCAGAATGAAACCTGGGTCCTCTAAAAGGGCAGCCAGGGCTCTCAGCCTCTGAGTCTGTTCTCCAACCCCTTTGTATTTTAGTTTTGTTTATTTTTGAGATATGACCTCTCTTGCTACATACTCCAGATCAATCTATTTACTTTATTTATTTATTTATTTATTTATTTATTTATTTATTTATTTATTTATTTTTTGAGATAGTCTTGCTACATACTCAGGACCATAATCCTTTTGCCTCAGGCTTTTGCCTGGGGGAAAACAGGAGAGTAACAGCATACTCTGTGACTGAATGGGAGAGCTTTAATGACTTGTGAGTATTTTGACCCAAATGCATCAGTTTCTTGAATCTCAAAAAGAGCACCAACCTTCCCATAAGAAGTTGCTTGGCCTTGTGCATGCCACATGGGCACCCAGTCCTGTGTGTTCTCTGCTGCCAAGGAGCCGGGCAGCTGCTAACAAGGAAACAGGAGTGGCAGAGTGGATGAAAGGTCTTTTCTGCCCTCAGAATGGGTTTAGACCTCAGACAAATGAGGAAGCATCCTCAGCCACAGGCTTTACCAGTCCCCTAGCAAGCTAAGCCTGACCTCTCTCACACCAACAGCCTTTCAAGTGGCTCCCACAACCTTTAACACACAAAGCCTGGCAGGGACAAGAACGTCCCAGCCACATGGCCTCTCACATGTGACAAGGCTTTGAATCAAGCCAGAAGGGGGAAAGGACATGACTCTGTGGCCACACTGGCATCTGCCTGCTGGGTAACCCAGAGCCAGGAGTCAGATCGTTAGCTTTAAGGTGGAAGTTAAAAGTGGGACGAAAAAGCAGTTCTTTCTGGTAGACTGGGAAATGCTCTGAGTTTGAGCCCCAATACCAAAAAAAAAAAAAAAAAAAAAAAAAAAAGGGTGGACCCTTATAAGGAGTACATAGGAGGATGTAGTGTTGACTGAGAGGAGCCATGGGCACTGTAGATCCTGTTGGGACAATAGTTCAGTATACTAGCATGGTCCATCCTCTCAGTACTTGGGAAGCTAAAACAGGGGGTTTTTGAACCCATGGGCAGCCTGGATTAGTCAGTTAGACCCCCTAATAGCTAAATAAAAATGATGATTAGTTAATTAATAATAAAGAAAAGCACAAACAATATGAAGTAGCAAGATGAAGCCATTACAGAGCAAAGTAAATCAGATTCCTGGGTGCTTGCCCATGGGCACGATAGCTCACAGCTGCAATTTCAGCACTTGGGAAGTAGAAGAAAAATCATAACACATCTGAGACCAACCTGTGCTACACGGTGAGATCCAGGGTGGCCTACATTACAGAGCAAGACCCTGTCTCAAAACAAAAAGAGAATTCCAGGAGCTTGCATGATACATGAAAGGATCGACTTGGGCCCTTAAGAAGAGTGTCCCAGCACTGGGGAGGCAGAGGCAGAGGCAGAAAGATCTTTGTGAGTTCAAGGCCAGCCATGGCTAAGAGTGAGTGCCAAGATAGGCTCAAAAGCTACACAGAGAATCTCTGGCTGGAAACACACACACACACACCAAAAGAACAATGATTGTGTCACCAGGCAGTGGTAGCACATGCCTTTAATGGCAGCACTTGGGAGGCAGAGGCAGTCGGATCTCTGTGAGTTCGAGTCCTGCCTAGTCTACAAGAGCTAGTTCCAGGACAGATTCCAAAGCAATACAGAGAAACCCTATCTCAAAAAACAAAAAGGAACAAAAGCAAACAAACAACATGCTGACACACCCCTGTAAGTTCAGCACTGGGGAGGCTACGGTAAGAGGACTCACAGTTCAAGACCAGCAGTAAGGAACCTTAAACCTTAGATGTTCTTGATATCTCTTGAAAGATCAGCAGGTGACAGTGGTAGGTTTCCTACATAGCTGACAGACTGGGCTGGCCAGGTGCTGAAACCCAGCACTGGTGAAGTCTGCAGGGCAATGTCCTCTGCCCGGGCCTCGCCCCTGCCTACATGCATCCTTTTTACTTAGTCGTAGCGGAACGCTTCTCAACCTCACCTCCAACTAATGTGGCCTTCTGCGCCCCTGACATCCCTTCCCGACCATCTCTAAGCTGGCACCCAGGTCCTGCAGTCCGCTAAGGCTAAGCTGTGGGAGCCACCGCACCGCGCACGCGCGCTCCTGCACACCCGGGGATGCTGGCTGAGCTCGGAGCCGGCCTGACTCTAATCTCAGCCCGTGCCTCAGTTCCTCCCCACGAAGATGAACAGGCCCAGCAGTGAGCCCGACACTGTGGAGTCCCCAGCCGGCTCCGCAGATCCTGGCTTCCCTGCGCACACCTTTACCGTGCTGTGTTTGAGATCACCGGGATACTGTGGTCCGCTCTGCTCCGCCGGCTCCGCTTTGCCAGCTCCAGAGAGGCGCTCACAGGCCACGGCCACCCTGGCTCCGCCTTCTCGCCTTCCGGCTCAGCGGGCCTTCCGGGTCGCAGTGTCCTGGGTCCCTGTCTTCACGCGGATCGGGCCTGGAAAAGGACCTTGCGGACTCAGCCGAGCGTCCGCTGTTCCTCCCTGCCCCGTCCCAGCATCTGGTTGACTGACACCGAGACTATGACCTTGAACCCAAGCGGGGGACGTCTGGAGAGGACTTTGTTTCCAGTAGACCCGCTGCGCCCCACCCCCACCCCCAGGGCTACCCAGCCCTACACCCAACCTGATGTCTAGGATCCAGGGTCGCTTCTGAAAGGTCCTCTCCGAGCAACTTTTATGCTGGATCTGTGACCCCGGGAGTCTTGGTCGTGGTAGATGCTGCAGGCGGTTGAACTGTCAGGAAGTACTACTGATTAACTCTGGGGCCTGCGTGGGACTTGCAGGGCCTGGCCTAGCTCTCAGACCTCCTAGGGTTACAAAGGAGTCTGTGCCACTTGCAGTGAAAGGAAGACCACTAGCAGTCAAAGGGAGGTCGCTTGAGAAGAGAGCAAGAGTAGTAAAAACAAAACAGGAGAGGCCCATAGGTACAAGAGTCCCCTATTCCTGACTCCAGGAACCCTAGGGCTAGCCTTGTACTATCCCAAACTCAAAAACGGCTTCTGGAAGCGCTCCCAATACTGTGAACTATAACCCTGAGCAAACAAAGTCTTGCTGAGTAGGTGAGGACCACTGACACTCTAGTCTTGGGAGATCTTGACTCTGAACATGCAGTCAGAGGAGGCAAAATTGTCTGGAGACTGATGGCAGTCTCGCCTTGGGCTCCATCACTCTTCTTCTAAAGGTTCATTCATCATCCATCCTTCACATTTCCATAGACATCCCCTTTCCATTGTATCCCTTTTGTTACCACTGAGCACGTCTGCATGCTTGCTGTGGCCATTCCATGCATTGTCATCACTGCCAGGATTATTGTTATTCCTGACTCCCTCAGCCATCATCACCACCTGAATCTCCCCCAAGTCCCCAGCCTTCCAAGTGCCCACTTACCCAAGGTGGGACATTAAAGATCTTTAGTAGAGCCAGGAGATGGCTGCCAGGCTCTATGAACCTTCATTCCTCTCTAGTCACTATTACTTTCCCCATTTAAAAGGAAACAGCAAAGCTCGGTGGAAACGTAAGTGCAAATACAACTTCCAGACAAAGCCCTAGGCTGGCTCCCGAATCACCCTCACTGTCCTCAAGTACAGAATGAGACAAGAACTCAGGCTCTCAACAACCTGGGCTTATTGAGACAACTAAATGAAAACACAGACGAAAAGTGCTGTGTCTGCTGAGAACAGGAGACCAGCTGTGCCAGTGTGCTGCCAGTGACCAGTGTCTACAAGGCACCCTGAGGATTCTAAGGGAGAACTTACAAATGAATTCAACAGAGCTCTGGTGCACCGCAAGTCTGTCTGATGAAGGGTTATAAGTGCCAGGCGGAGGTGCCATGCACCTATGGTCTCAGTTGAAGCAAGAGGATCATTAAAACTTCGAGGACAGGGGAACTGGAGAAATGGCTCAGCGGTTAACACCACACTGACTGCTCCTCGAGAAGAACCGGGTTCAGTTCCCAGACCCCATGTGGCAGCTAACAAATGTCTGTAACTCCAAGATCTGACACCCTCATACATGCATACATGCATGCAAAACACCAATGCAAATAAAAATATATCACAAAAACAAACAAAAAACCTTTGAGAGGCCAGCCTTAGCTACACAGCAAGATCCTACCTTGGGGAAAAAAAAAAAGGAATATGCAATGCAGGCATAAAGAGATGGCTCAGCAGTTAAGAGCACTAACTGCTCTTCCAGAGGGTCCTGGGTTAGATTTCCAGCACCCACATGGCAGCTGGCTGTAACTCTAGTTCTTGGGATCTGATGCCCTCTTCTGGCCTTTGTGGGTAGCAAGCACACAAGTGGCTCACAGACCTACATTCAGGCAAAATACCCATTCACATAAAATGAAATTAAATTTAAATGAAGAACCATACTCTACGAAAGTAGAAAGAACACTATTTGGGACAGCATGGGTACCAGAGAGGGTAACGGGGGGTGAGCATATGATATATGGTTTCAGTATATGATATATTTGAACAAAAATGTCATGAAACCTAGCCCTTCATACAATAAATATATGCTAATAAATTTGTTTTATTTGGTGAGGGCTGAGACAGGGTCTCACTATGTAGCCTTAGCTGACCTAGAACTCACTACATGGATCAGGGGTGGCCTTGAATTTATGTTTATACTTCTGTTTCTTCCTCCCAAGTGCTAGGATTGAAAGCATGCAACCTCATACCGAGCTAATATTTTTTTAAAGACTGGAAAAAGAATTAGAACCTACTTCAAACCCCACTAATAAATTTTAGCTGTCCAGATATGGCATAGAGCTGACTCCTGGATGAGGCCAAGGGAATGTATCACAGATGGTCCTGAGGGGACTTGGAACGTTAAAACACCATAAAAAGATTGGGAGTTGGGGGAATCACCTTGCCTTCCTCTAGGAGAGTGGGCATGGGAGAGTTTCCCACTTGGAAGACTTATTTTTCAGTCTGAGAACAATGCATTTCAATGGTTCTGTTGAACATGCACTTCTCACACAAGTATTTCTATAATTATCCTGTTTCAGTTATGATACAGTTTCTGGAACAATGGGACTTTTATTGTATTGCTATATCTGTTATAATAGATGTTTTATTACAGAAAATTATGGTAGAGTCACTCTTACAATTCTGAAGTTTTCATTGCAAATTGCTCACAGGATGGAAATCTTCTCTCTCTCTCTCTCTCTCTCTCTCTCTCTCTCTCTCTCTCTCTCCTTCTCGCTCTCTTAAGTAGTTTTACTTTAATGCTGCAATGGGTGCATATTTTTTAACCCTAGTTGGCTTGAGGCATTCTTCACTAGCAGAATATTTTCTTTTGCTTCAGATACATAGTGTGATATCACTTGTGGTGTTTACTGGCTAGCCATCCTGGCCAGTACGCTTTAAAATTCTTTTTATCTAATGGATGCTGTAGAGGTGGCTTAGAAGTCCAGAATACTTAGTGCTCTCATAGAGTACTGGGACTCAATGCCCACCTGCCACACGGCAACCCACAATTACCTGCATAAGGGCAGAGGAAAAAGTGATAGGGGCCAGGGCAAGCTAAAATACCCTCGGGACCACTTCTTCCGTCCACGCTTTGCCTTCCACCACTGCCACTGCGTGACTGGTCCAGTGACTATGTCCGAGTCCACAGAATACATTTCCGAGAATACTATCACAGGCATTCCTGGGAGTCTGCCTCACTAACACTCACCCCTGGCCCCATCAACTGCCTGTCCCTCCTCCTCTCTTCTCCCCTCCTCCTTCTCTTCTTCCCTCCTGTGAGGACTCACACATTATGCTGGCCGGCCCCTGTCACCTGGTAGAATGCACTCAGAGTTCCCGGGTCAACCCAGGGTTCCATGATTTCCTAGTCTTCTCTGTCTCTGTGTCTCTTTGCCTCTTTTCTCTTTCCTTCCCCCCTCTCCCCTTTCTAATAAAACTTCTCACTTAAGCTCGGTCTGCCTGGAGTGTTTGTCCCCACCTAAGCCACCCATGACATCATGGAATCCACCAAAGTTCCCCAAGCAAGGTTCCCCTCAAGCTTTACCATAACACCTCCTCCCCCACTTTCTTTAGAGTCTCACTATGAAACCCTGGTCTCGAACACACTATGGAGACCAGGCTGTCCTCAAACTCACAGAGATCCTCCTGCCTCTGCTCCCATCGTACTGTCCTTAAAGCCCTGTACCACAGCATGCTCCCTCGCCCTCACTGGTCTTGTGAGACAGTCTAGCTATGTAGACTAAACTGTCTTAGAGCTCATGATCCTCCTGCCTCAGCCAACCCAGGCCCCGCTTTGTAGTATAGTTTAAATAATAATAATAATAATAATAAGTCTAGTTGGGGGGTGGCAGTGCACGCCTTTAATCCCAGCACTCAGGAAACAAAGACAGATGGATCTAGAGTAAGCTCCAGAACAACCAGGACTATACAGAGAAGCCCTGTCTCTGAAAACTAAGGAGAAAAAAATGTTTGATTCTGTTAAGATTGAGGGGGTGTTAGTTGCCACATGTGAGCCTCTTCTGTCATTAGTGATGGAGAAACCAGAGGCTTAACCTATCCAGTGCACAGGCCGGCATACCATGCCCACCTTACTAAATGTTTCTTAGTCCAGTCAAGCTGGCAGCTCAAATTAACCGTCAAATGGCAGTGGCTTCAGATCATCCCTGGGAAGAAAGAATCTCAAGTCCTGGAGTGCACACCCGACTTTTAGGTTGTTCATCTTTCCCACAAGAGAAGAGGAACTATGGAAAGCCCCCAAATATCTGTCCACATCAGCGCTACACTCTGAGAAGCTGCTGCTTACCTAATGCCATTTACACACTGTCCTTGGTGGAACCCACTGCAGGCTAAGTCAAGAGATGCTGATGGAGGTCCAGATTCTAGGTCCTGGGAATCACAGAGCCCTCTCCTCCCCTAGTTGTAAATAATGTTAGTGGGAGGTCATGGGGGTGTAATGAATGCAGGTGCCCCTGAGGCCAGGAGCCTCCAAACCCCCAGAAACTGAAGTGATGGGCAATTATGAACTACCAGATGTGGGTGCTAGGCTCGGGTCACCTGATTTCTGTGTTCTTAACCACTCAGTCTCTCCAGCTGTTGCAGGTGACTTTTAGGCTGCTCAGAAGAGAAGAAGTGGGTACTCATCGTCACACACACTGCTAGGAACAAAATCAAAGCAGAGCTGTGTCTCCTGGGCCTCTCTGCTTTTCCCATCACACCAGCTCAGGCAGAGGGCAAACAAGGTGCACTGGGTATAGAAAGGCTGAGGACACACACACACACACACACACACACACACACACACACACACACACATTCAGTATGGAAAAAACAGAATCTAAGACCTGCTGTTTGAGCCTTCCACAGGAAGGCACTTTGGAATGTACATAAGTGAACCAACAGTTGTTAAGGTTGTCTTGATGTGACTGGCAGGGGCAC